CCGATGGGAGACAGATGAGGCTGTCTGCTCCCTTAAAGATCTGCAGTCTCGGAACCCACAGGGTGGTCATTCTGCTCCATCCTAGAGGGTCAGTAAAGAACAATTCTTTATTTTTTTTTATCATCCCACCACCACTAGTTTAAATAAACTCAATCCCTCTGGGCAAAACCCTCTCTCTTTCCTTGCCTGCCTTTGTAGAGGCTAACTCACAACAAAGTAGAATTGCCCCCGTAGGGTTTTCAGGAGGCTGCAAATCTTTAGCGAATGACCGCAGACTAGCTGGAGGCAGACCCCTGCCTTCCTGGTTAACAGCGGAGCCTTTGACCTTTGCATCACAAGGACATTATCCATCAATCTTTTTTGTTTGTTTGTTTGTTTTATATATAATAGTTGTATTGACACATCTTACACAATCCAATATATCCATTCATGTACAATTCTGATCTTCAATCCCAATGAGTGGAGTTATACAATCATCAATGTGAACAAATCCCCATTTCCCCCCACCCCACCTCTTCCCATACCCTCAGGGAACATTACTCCTGTTACTATTTCTGTAGGCTTATCTATCTTGACTTACATGTGCAGATCCATCTTAAATATACAACAGTTGATTCCAGCTCCTAATGACCCTGTAGGAGAGAGTTGATCTGCCCTGAAGGGTTTCCTAGGCTGGAATCTTTTCAGGATCAGACCCACCATCTCTTCTGGCGGAGCAGCTGATGGGTTCACTGGCCTGTCTCTCCCTTTCCTTAACCGCTACACCACTAGGGCTCTGTCCCCACCCTGGTAATCAGTATGAGTTGAACATGCCGGAATTGTTGAACTGACCTATACTTTCCTCTGTGTAGTTTTGCAACACAATTGTTTTTAGTACAGTAATAAGGATCTCTTGTGGTGCAGAAGGTTGGTGGTTCAAATCTCCCTGAAGGAGAATGAGAAGGCAGTCTGATTCTACGGAGATTGATAGGATCTGCATGGGTTGCTATGAGTCGTGTAGACTCCATGGCAGAGAGTTTGAACGGTTGCGTTGCGCGGCGAGTCAGAATCACAACCCAGACAGTAGTGGGTTGGCTTGGTTTGTAGTTTGAGTGTTGGTTAATTCACAGAACAGAAAGCATCTACGCAGCACAGCCCACTCCCACCCCTGTGCCTGCACCTGGGCCAGGGGCAGATGAAAATGACTGAGACATGGTTTTACCCACCAAGGAGCTCTGTCTCCTGGGAGAGATGAGTAAATGCCCATCTGTTGATGAAATGCCAACTGCAGTGAGGGCAGCATGGAGAAGCAGCTTGAGTCACTATGGGGAGTTTTTGTAGGGAAATCCTCTGCCACGGTCTATTCTGACTCATCCTGACCGTGGAAGGCAGAGCAGAACTGCTCCTCAGGGTTTCCAAGACTGGGATTCCCTCTG